TGGAGGTAGTACCAGGTTAGAGAGAGAGTGGCATGGGATCTAGATTTTGGCAAGGGCTTGTGAAGCTTGAGATGCCATTAGTATCCAAATGGAGAGGTCAAGGGAGCAGGTGAATACGTGAGTCTGACCTCTTTTGGGAGAGAGGTCAGGTTGGAGTGAGAAAATACGAAGGCATCAGCCTAAGGATGGATTTAAGCCATGAGGTCACCAAGAACCGAAGACAGATAAGTACAGGAGAACATCTGCAGCTGAGTCCTGGAGCCTGCAACATTTAGGCACTGGGGGAAAGGAGAAGCACCCAATAGTGGACATCCAGGAGGAGACGTCACTGACATTGGAGGACACCCAAGAGCATGTGGTGTCCTTAGAGAACATAAACCCAACCCACAAAGTTGAAGCCATCAGTGGTATCAAATATGGTTAAGAGGTCAAGTAAGATGAACAATGGACTCTGATGACTGGCTTTGGAAACATGATGGTCTTTGGCCACCTGGACATCAAAAGTTCTGAATTCTTGGACTGCACTCTGACATTTTTTCATCAACCTCCCTGCAAGACATTTCAAGAATCAATGGTGTCAAAATTGCTTAATTTCTTGGACATCTGTTTTTGAAGAGCATCCTCTACTGCATGGCAACTGCCTTGGTATGCGCACCTAGGAGGTACTGCTTCCGGGGAAATACCAAGGAAATCTGCTTCTTTTGAGTAAGTGACTATATTTTCCATCTTTAAACACATAGATTCCTATTCCCTTCTTTGCTTTAGCCACCAGTTGCTTAGCAACTGCATCGGGACAGCGTATTTTGTGTGCCAAACTCATTCGTGGTTCCATCCTTTTTTTTATTCTCATTTTCCCTTTGCCCTGGTTACCTTCTCTATTTTACTTTAATCCTCTTCTAATGTGCACATTTCTCTCTAACGTGTGTATTTCTGGCGTGTAATCACTGTAAGTTTCTTTGGAACCATATGGGGGTAAATAGTGTGACAAATGCCAAATGTTATGACTGTTACGTAGATACCCCTGAGCCTTGATTAAGAACCCGCATGCATCCTGATGGGGAGAAAAGAGACCTGGGCATGGAGCCAGGTGGCATTTATTCTAGTTCTGGCTCTGCCACTAAATAGCTGTGTGACCCTGGCAAATCTAGTCTCCTCTCTGAATCTCAGCTACTTCCATTATCACACACAGGGGTTATACTAGCTTGGGATTAGCAAACAAGAGACGCGCAGGCACTGACCATCACCTAGTTCCATAGCGGACATCACTCATCAATTAGGCACTCTTTGGCACTGGGCTTAGCCAAGACATCAGAATCCTTCTTAACACAGTCCCTCAGGCCACGGCTACCAGTTAATGGGAGCTGGCGTGCTAAAGGAGGCCTGTTTGCACGATGGGACTAAGTAACATTTCCATGTGAGATTCATTGTTGCTGATGAACTAGAATCCTAGTACCATCTGTAGTGGCTGCCATTCTGTTGTCCGCATGATAGCATTTCAAAGCAGAGGGGATGGATGGGCATTGTGGGAAGGCTCTGTAATCATTACATAAAATTATAAAGTATACCATGTATAACCTAGCATTTACCATTGAGTATGTGAATAGATCCTTAAGTACATCCATAGAGGGTATGGTCAGACCATACCCTCTGTTTACCTAAGCTGAGCGTTTAGGACCTCAGGATATACAGGCTCACAGAATGCTGAATCTCAGAGATAATGATTTGCCTTCTATTGGAATAAGCAAACTCATGTAATTTCCATGATCACTAAAATGTGTTGTTTTTTGTTTTATCTTTCCAAATAGAAATAAAGACATAATCTAAGATTTCTGTTTAAATCACCCTTCATAAGTCTGGGAAAAAAGAAAAAAAAAACAACCTTTTCTTAATAGAGAAACTGGGAAACTAACTTTTAATTAATTAATTGATGTTCAAAAAATTCCCCATTGCCTAGTATAATTGATGTGTCTATGTTCTTTGAGATTCACAGAGCCGTAACTATGTAACTCACACAGTACTAAGACCTCCCTAATTAATTCCTTCCTATAACCCTTTGAGGTGGCTAATTTTATTATTCCCATTTTAGCACTGAGAAAATTGAGGCTCAGAGAGGTAAAGTGACCAGATCAAAGTGCTTTCTAAAACCGTCTTCCATGACATCTCCGCTGTAACAAAATCCTCACCAAAAACTTACAAGAATTCTGGCTTTCTATCCTTGTTTTTGAAACCTCAATGAGAAATTGATGGCTTCAATAGAGGTTCTGTGAACAGGCTTTTGTCTCAGAAAGAGGGTGATATTTTCTACATTTTCCTATTTCCTCGTTTAATCCCCCTTCAAACTGAGAGCTAGGCATGGTTGTGATACCCCTTTTACGGATGAGAATAAAAAGGCTTTGAAAGTTGTGCCTTGCCAAAGCTTATAGATTTGAACCCATGCATGACTCCAGATCCTCTCCTCCAGGACAAACTGTCTTTCAGGATGAACTGTCCTTCTCAGGACTAAGCGCAGACATATATCACTTCTTTGTGGAAATGAAAATGAAGGAACAAGATGATGATGGGGATTTCCAAATGTAGATCCTTTATTTATTCAGATGCCAGGTTGCTGGGGGAGGAGGGAGGAGATTTGGCCATCAGGAAAGACGTGGTGTCAGACGGCTGTTTGCATATGGTGATCTTGGTTTCTTGTAACCAGTGACAAGTGGGTTACCAGGTTCTGTGGGCAGAAATATATTTTGGGATTCACTCTGGCCCAGGTGCTACGGACAATAAATATTTCCTGAATAAATGATGGCTGGATAAGTGAACGGATAAAGGAATGACGACCCTGCTTGTTATCACACCAGCAAATGTCCGACATTTGTGTCTTTCAAAAACCCATTTACAATGCCGAGTCCTAGACACCTTGCCTGCTCTGCCCCCAGATTCCAGAGGCAGCCACCCCCTCTCCCATCTCTGCTTTGGGAGCCGCATCCAGGGAATTTGCTGCAGCAGCAGGAATCGTCTGACAACACAATTCTTCCTGTTTCCAGGGAAAGTCGTTACTTTACTTTGTTCTGCACCCGAAGGGAGTATGCACAAGGCTGCCAGAACAGCTCAGCTACTTTAGGCTGTGCTGTTTCGAATGAGGGATGTTAAGCAGAAAGGCCCAGGCCGTGTGGGGGACTAGGAGGCTGCCTTTCCAGCCCATCCCTGCTGCATGACCTTGGATGCATCATTGGTGGTGGAACATGGGTTCAACTATCTTTAAAATCAAGGCTGGGCCGGCGCGGCGGCTCACGCCTGTAATCCCAGGACTTTGGGAGGCCGTGGTGGGCTGATCACCTGAGATCGGGAGTTCAAGACCAGCTTGGCCAACACGCTGAAACCCTGTCTCTACCAAAAACACAAAAATTAGCTGGGTGTGGTGGTGCGTGCCTGTAGTACCATCTCTTCAGGAGGCGAAGTCAGGAGAATCACTTGGATCAGGGAGGCAGAGGTTGCAGTGAACTGAGATTGTGCCACTGGGCTACAGCGCGAGACTCTGTCTCAAAAAAAAAAAAAAAGTCAAGGGCTGGCGAGATTGCACCACTGCGTTCCAGCCTGGGCAATAGAGTAAGAGCCTGTCTCAACAATGACAAAAAAAAAGAAAGGCCTGGCGTGGTGGGTCATGCCTATAACCGCAACACTTTGAGAGGCCCAGACAAGGAGGATCGCTTGAGGCCAGGAGTTTGAGACCAGCCTCAGCAACATAGTGAGACCTCTGTCTCTATAAAATTTTGTTTTAAAAATTAGCCAGGGATGGTGGTGCATGCCTGTAGTCACAGCTACTCAGGAGGCCAACGCAGGAGGGTTACCTGAAGCCAGGAATTTGATACCAGCCTTGGAAACAAAGCTCTCTAAAAAAATAATTGAAAAAAAATAGCTGGGTATGGTGGCGTGTGTGCACCTGTAGTAGTCAGGAGGCTGGGGCTGGAGGATTGTTTGAGCCTGGGAATTCAAGGCTGCAGTGAACTGTGATTATACCACTGCACCCTAGCCTGGGTGACAGAGCAAGACCCTGTCTTTAAAAAGACCCAAGGAGGCTGGAAGAGATGTTCCTGGAGTCTTTTCTAGGTCAACAACATACCTTCATTTAGGGGGTAGGCACACAAACAGTGCCTTGCAGGGAGCAGGAGCTGAATACATCCTTGCTGCTCTGATTTCAGGAAACACCGATCCCTCCCTCCCTCCCTCCTTTCTCCTTCCCTCCCTTCCTTCCTCTCTCTCTCCTTCCTTCCTGTCTTTCTCTCTCTCCCTCCTTCCTTCCTTTCTCTCCCTTCCTCCCTCCTTTCTCTCCCTCCCTCCTCCCTGCCTCCCTCCCTCCCTTCCTTCCTCTCTCTCTCCTTCCTTCCTTCCTTCCTGTCTTTCTCTCTCTCTCCTTCCTTTCTCTTCCTCCCTCCTTTCTCTCCCTCCCTCCTCTCTCCCTCCCTCCCTCCTTTCTTTCTTTCTCTCTCTCTCTCTCTCCCCCCCCACCCCCGCTCCCTGCCTCCTCCCTCCCTCCCTCCCTTGTTTCTTTCTCTCTCTCTCTCTCTCTCTCTCCTTTCCTTCTCTCTTTCCTTTTCCACCCAGGCTGGAGTTCAGTGGGCGCGATCTCGGCTCACTGCAACCTCCTTCTCCCCGGTTCCAGCAATTCTCCTGCCTTAGCCTCCTGTTTGTTTGTTTGTTTTAATAAAGATAGGGTTGCACCTTTTTGGCCAGGCTGGTCTGAACTCCTGACCTCAGGTGATCTGAGTGCTGGGATTGCAGGCTTGAGCCACCGCGCCCAGGCCTTGCTCCTTTCCTGAGCAGTTGAGAGAGAGGGAGGGGAGAGGGTATTAGATCCCTGACCTTGAGGTCGGGGAGAGGAGGGCGATGCTGAGTGGTGGACGAAAGACTTGAAGATAATGAGAGATTGCATCAACTTTCCCCAGGCTGTTTCTGGGTCTAGAAGCGAGCAAAAATAAGGCGGGAGGGGTTGGTGCGAAGAAAGGGAGGCATTTATTTTGGAGGCGCATAGGAAGCACAAGTGTCAGGGGTTGAAAGGCCGCCTTCTCCTGCGGGCTAACGGTGTGGGTGACAACCCGCACATTCAAATGAGGGAGCGATTAGACCGCGCTTGCTTCTGAAGACGGATTTCTTGGTTCGGGGAGCGGGCTGGGGGGCTGGGCCGGTATAGAGGGGACGGCAACATTAGGCTTTGGCAAGTTAATTAGGGTTCAGGAGTCCAGCGAGCGAGCAGGGGGAGAGGCTAGATTTGCATAAAGCCCATTTACATAATGTTCTTCACAAATTGTGCAGCCAGAAGGCAGAGAGGGGGTGGGGAGGGAAAGGGTTGGGGAGGGGGAGGTAGTTAGACGCCCGAGGCAGCCGCCGCCAAAGGGGGAAGGGCGAGGCCCGAGATGGGACTCGCTCCTTCTTGGCCACTCTCTCCACCCCTCCCCATCTCTCTCTGCACCAGGGCCACCCCTGCCTTATCTCGGCCCCCACCTCCATTCTGGGCCGGACACCACACTGCCCCCCACCATAGGGCCGGCCCAGAGCACTCGGATTTCTAAACCGCCTCTATGGTCACGGGTCTCTCTTGCTTTAACCCTTTCCGGGACTCCTGGCTGCACTCAGGGTCAAGTCCCAGCTCCTTAGCCAACCTGTGTGACTCCTCGCGGTGGTCTAGCCCCATTCACCCTCCTGACCTGGCTTCCTTCTAGTCCCCTCTTTCTAGCTAAGCTCAGTCCCACTGAAAAGCTCGTGTCCCTGGACTCCTTTGGCTCTCACAGGCCTCCTCCGCTCCTGTCTTGTCACCTGTCCTGGAATGTCCCTACCACAAAAGCCAGCTGCTTTGTGGCAACCTCACCTCCCGCCGCACCAAATGCTCTGCCCTTGGGGCATTTTCTGAAGTCCCCATAACTTCCTCAAGTGGACTGCTAGCCCCCTTTTGTGCGACCAGGACACCTTCACCCACCTGTATTCCAGAACTTACCACGCTGTATAGTAACTGCACTGGGGAGGGTCTCTTTCCCCACTGGGCTGTGATTCCTCCAGAAAGGAACGTGCCTGATGCATCTCTACGTCCAGCTGTGGCAGGAGTATGCAAACAGTTGATGCCCAAAACTATTGATTGAATGTATGAAATATGTCGTCTTAGCCAGAGATTGAGATCAGGTTTCAGTCTGCCTGATATGAGCCTGACCAGCTCTCTAATTTCTCTGGGGTTCTGTCTACATCTTCTATCTTTATTGGGTTCTTAACCTGTCCTGTGTTAGTAGCTGCAGAGGACAAAGGGGCTGTGGTGACCTCTGAGCCGAATTCTCCACGGAGGGAAGCAGGCTAAGGCAGGCCAAAGGGGAAAGGGGCATCCTAGGCTGGGCACGTAGCATGTGCAAAGGCCTGGTGGTCGGAAAGTGTGTGGAATGTTTGGAACGTGGAAGAGGATTGAGTGGGTTAAAGTCAGAGATGAAAGATGGAAAATATGGTGAGGCTCCTGTTCTGAGCTTAAGAGGCTGAGAAAATTCTGATAGATTTTTGTGAGCCTCTGAAGCTTTGTGATCAAGGAGAAGAAAGAAGAAAGTTGCATCCACTGAGCACCTACTGCGTGCCACTGAACAGGTGATGTAATTCAACGGCCAAGCACAGTAGGGATTATTGTCCCCATCATTACCAGTGTAGAGGATGACAAGCCTGCTGGAGTCACTTGCTGAAACCTCACAGCTGCAGAATGGTCAAGCAGGGCTTTGGAACCCTGGTTTCCAAATCCTGCGCTGCCTTCTGAATTCCATGTATTTACGTTTTAGCAATGCATATAAAATGGAAGGGAAATCGAAGAGAGAAAGAGGCAAAGAGAAAGACAATTTGGGGGAGGCAAACAGTCATTGAGAAAGAGAGAGAGAAAAAGGGAAAGAGACAGAGAAGAGAGGAGAAAGATGGGGCCAGAAGGGGCCAGAAAAGAGTAGAGGGAAGAAAGAGAGAAAGAAAGAAAGAGAGAGGAGAGAGAAAAGGGAAAGAGAGAAGAGAAAGGAAAAAGAGAGAAGAAGAGAGAGAGAGAAAGAGAAAAGATCATGTCCTTTGCAGGAACATGGATGGAGCTGGAAGCCATTATCCTTAGCAAACTTAACATGGGAATGGAAAACTAAATACTGCACATTCTCATTTATAAGTGGGAGCTAAATGACGAGAATACATGGACACATAGACGGGAACAACACACACTGGGGCTTATCGTAGGGTGGAGGATGGGAGGAGGGAGAGGATCAGGAAAAATAACTAATGGGTCCTGGGCTTCATACCTGGGTGATAAAATAATCAATACAACAAACCCCCATGACACAGATATACCTACGTAATAAAACTGCACATGTAGCCCTGAACTTAGAGTAAAACTTTAAAAATAGAGACAAGAGGAGAAGGGTAGAGAGAGAGAAGAGAGGGGAGAAAGAAAGAGGAGAAAGAGAGGAGAGAGAGAAAGTGAGAGAGGGGAGGGGAGAGAAAGAAGAGAAGGGAGAAAGAAGAGAAGGGAGAAAGAAGAGAAGGGAGAAAGAAGAGAAGGGAGAGAGAAGAGAGAAAAGAGGAGTGAGGGAAAGAGAGAGAGAAGAGAGGAGACCGAGGAAGAGAGGAGGAAGTGGAGGAGAGAAGGCTGGGAGGAAGGAGAGGAGACTCAGGTGTCAGTCACCCTGCAGGGTGGCAGGGATGCTCTGCTCCTAGACAGAGCTGTCCAATAGAACTTTCTGTGATCTCTAATCTGCCGTCCTACTCAAGTGCTCGGTAGCCTCGGGTAGCTACCCAGCACTTGAAATGTGGTTAGTGCAACTGAGAAGCTGCATTTTTATTGTATTTAGATTTATATTTAAATGCTCACATAAAGGTAGCGACTACAGTATGGGACAGTGCAGGTTTAAGAGCAGTCCTTCTTTTTTCCATCAAGGTCCTAGCTTGAATTTTCTCTGGGTCCTTCTTGGCCTCCCATTCTGGGACTCTGTTCTGAACCATGCATCCCTGATGTTTCCTTCCTCCATATTCCTGGACATCCCACCCACACCGAGGTTTAATTTTAGCTGATTCTCTCTCAAGGACAAAGTATATATTTTTATTTTAATTTATGTCGCCTGAACCATTTCCAAGTTTTACTTTTAGAACCTGTCAATATTAGTGACATGTGGCATTTTAGGTACTTTTCTGCTGGTGGGGCCTAAATTTATTGTCATTTTATGTTACTCGGCAAAATGCACAAAATGCCAGAAGTGTTATAAACAGAGACGATTTATGTTCGGGTTGGGGTGAGGTTAAGAGAATGAATATAATCAATTTTTTTTTTCAGAGACTTTTATGCGAGTGTGAGGGCCAGCAGGTGCACATTTGAAGCTCAGTGGGAAGTGTTTTCCAAGCAACAGGAGACAGCAGATGCAGACGGGGCCCAATTACTACTGCTCACGGCTGATCATGCCATGCACTTGTGTGCAGATACCTGGCTCCTAGTATGGGACTATGCACACGGTAGTCTCAGGCACCTAGAATGGGCTATGCACATGGTAGGCGCTCAGTTAAAGCTTGTGGAAGGAGGGATGGAGAAAGGTTAAGAGACATAAGTGGGAGCTCTAAAGACTCCTCTGGTCCACCCCAGTCACAGTAATCTTTCTGGATCTTGTCACTTCACTGCTTAAAACCTTTCAATGGTTCCCTAGTATCCCCTGCGTTCTGACTTACAGGGTCCTTCAAGATCTGTACCTGAGGGTGTCTCTAAGGGACCTGGAATGCTCTGAAAGTTTTAGATCTTTGCTCCTTGTCTTCCCATGAGCTCTTCCTGTTCTTGGGAGTCCTCCCTCCTCTTTCTTGGCCCTTCTTCCATAACCAACTCAAACTCAAACTCCTCTGTCCTTGCACCCTTTACCTTTTATCCCTCCGAAGAGAGTTTGGCGTTTCCTCTTGGTACCTTATGTACAGTCATCCCTGGTTACCCATGAGGGATTCGTTCCAGGACCCCCTGTGGATACCAAACTCCACGAATCCTCAAGTCACTGATATAAAATGACATAGTATTTGCAGATAACCTACACAATCCACCTGTATGCTTTAAATCATTTCTAGAATACTTCTAATACCTAATATAACATAAATACTATGTAAATACTTGTTATATTCTATTGTTTAGGGAGTAATGACAAGAAAATAAGTCTGTACATGTTCAGTACAACCATTCTTTTTTTTTTTTTTTTTGAGACAGCGTCTGTCTGTGTCACTCAGGCTGAGGTTCAGTGGCTCCATTATAGCTCACTACATCCTCCACCTCCTGGGCTCCAGGAGTTCTCCCACTCAGCCTCCTGAGGTGCTAGAACTGTAGGCATGCACCACCACACCCAGCTTATTTTAAAATTTTTTTGGAGAGGCCAGATCTTGCTTTGTTGCCTAGGCTGATCTCAAATTCCTGAGCTCAAGCAATTCTCCTGCCTCGGCCTCCCAAAGTGCTGGGATTATAGGTGTGAGCCACTGTGCCTGGCTGAAAATACTTATTGTGTTACATCTTCTTATGTTACATTGAGTGAGTGAGTGAGAATCCTTAAATATAATAGAGAAACAGAAAACTAAGGGCCTACAGATTGCGTTGCCTTACAAGATTCAGGTGAATTGCTTTTTGACCTCTTCCAATAAGCTCTCAAGTATTTTTTTTAATTTTATTTTTTAACGGAGGTGGTGTCTCTCTATGTTAGGCCAGGCTGGTCTCCAACTCCTGGCCTCAAGTGATCCTCCCCCTCCAATCTCCCAAAGTGCTGGGATTACAGGCATGATCTACTGCGCCTGGCCTGCAACCATTCTTTTTTTCCTCTGATTATTTTCAGTGCGTGGTTGGTTGAATCCACGAATGCAGAATCCAAGAATATGGAGGGCCAACTGCATGTCTGCATTACAGGCCTCCAGATGTTGCCTCGTTTGCTTCCCTGTTGCCACCAGAAGATCACGCACCACCGGGCAGCATGGTCTGGAGAGTCCCATTCATCTTCATCCTGGGCCTGAACAGAGAAACTGACAAATGAAAGATAATTGAATGACATAACGAATGGGTGCAGATTGGGTTGGTCCCTCACCATCCCCACTTCTTAGCCATGTTGGATCTGCTAAGTCAATTACCACCATCGCCTACTCACCTTCCCATTTCCAAACCTCATAACTGTTATCTTTTCCTCCATTCTCCTTGTCCTTATGAGTTTATGCCTTTAAAACAAATCCTTGATTATAATAGTATTGTATTTTAGGGAAGGAAATGTATTAAAGGAGTGTGTTCAATCCGCCATCTTTCCTGGCAGTCAGTAACAAATGAAAGGAAATTTATCTGATAGACTGTGGGCAAGTCACTTCTCTCCCTACGGTCTCTGATTCTTCACCTGTGGCATGAGGAAGTTGGGCTGGATGAGTTCTAGGGTCCAGCCAAAGTCTGCGAGGGAGTCAGCGCTGGATTAGATGTGCCCGGTGGGCCATGGGCATGGATTTTACATAACAGCAGTCACTCTCTGGGATCCCTACTCTGGCCAGTGCTCTCCTTGGACTGCTAATTCTCTTTCCACACATTCAGGTTCTGACTCCCAAACTCTGAGGACGATGGTAGGTCCTGAGGTCCCTCTTACCTTGTACAACTCACAGTGACAGCAACTGTCTCAGTCTGTTGCTGGATGGCTCATAAACAGCAGGAATTTATTTCTCACAGTTCTGGAGGCTGAAAGTCCTACATCAGGGCCAGCAGAGTTGATTCCAATGGAGGTTTTCTTCCAGGTTGCAGACTACCAACTTCTTGCTGTATCCTCCCATGGTGGAAAGGGTGCTGGGAAGTCCAGTGAGGTTTCTTTAATGAGGGCACTAATTCTACTCATGAGGGCTCCACCCTCATGACCTAATCACTCCCACAGGTCCCACCTCCTAACAGCATCATACTGGGGGTAAGAATTTCAATACATGACTTTTGGGAGAACACATTCAGACCATAGCAGTGACCGACACTTGTCCAGTTCAGTGGCTTACTCAGAGACCTCACCTTGACCTAACGCTTGTGCCAACCTGGTAAGAAATCTGGAATCCCATTCCACAGATTAGAAGTCTGAGGTTTAGAGAGGGGAAGGGACTTGCCTAAGGCCATGGAGCAAGTCAGTAAGGACCCAAGGTGGCAGTCGTGGTCTAACTGACCTCTATTCCTGGAGTGTCCAGCATCCTGCCCATGGTGGCCGCTCAGCTGACATTTGTTTGGAATGAAAGGTGACCACACTTGAGTCGAGGTAGTCAGGATCATGGCGACAGCCACGACGGCAAGAAACAGCATTTTAAAAAGTATTTACTTAGTGTAACATTTTCAGAGCTATTCCATGCCACAGCGTGGATCAGTACTTCTTCATTCTTTATGGCTGAATAATATTCCATTGTATACCACATTTTGCTTATCCATTCATCTGCTAATGGACATTTGAGTTGTTTTCACCTTTTGGCTATTGTGAACAATGCTGCTATGAACATCCGTGTGCAGGTACATGTCTGACTCTAAGTGAAAGAAACTCAACACAAAAGGTCACATACTACGTACGATTCTATTTGTATGAAATATCCAGAATAGGTAAATCCATAGAGACGGAAAGTAGATTAGTGGTTGCTGGAGCTGGGAGAAAGAGTGAAAAGGGAACTGTGGCAAGGTGCAGTGGCTCACGCCTGTAATCCCAGCACTTTGGGAGGCCAAGGTGGGCAGATCACAAGGTCAGGAGATGGGGACTATCCTGGCTAACATGGTGAAACCCCATCTCTACTGAAAAATACAAAAGTCAGCTGGGCGTGGTTGTGTGCGCCTGTAGTCCCAGCTACTCGGGAGGCTGAGGCAGGAGAATGGCATGAACCCAGGAGGTGGAGCTTGCAGTGAGCCGAGATCGCACCACTGCACTCCAGTCTGGCAACAGAACGAGCCTCTGCCTAAAAAAAAAAAAAAAAAAAAAAAAAAGAAAAGGGAATGGCTACTGATGGTATGAGGTGTTCTTTGGAGGTAATGACAATGTTTTGGAACTAGACAGAGCTATGGTTGCACAACACTGTGAATGAACTAATGCTATTGAATTGGGTACTTTAAAGTCGTTAATTTTATGTAATGTGAATTTCACCTCAATTAAACAATGAATAACTAAAGACTTCTCTCCAGTAACATTCAACAAAGCCTACTGTGTGTTTAGTAAGTGCTTGGCTCACCAGTTTAAAACACATAGCACACACTTGTGAAACATTTGTGATATCAATTTACCAATGGGCAAGTTGATGATTTCCATCTTCAGCCTTGATACTCCCAGTCAAGTTCCCAGACCAGAGGCTTAGCATCCCCAGGAGCTGGTTAGAAATATAGAGTTGTTGGCAACCCCAAACACACTAAATCTCTGCTGAATGGCGTGTGTTTGCCTCTGCAACCCACTTTCCTGCTGTCCTTGTCTGATCACTGAAGACAGAAACTGTGAGAGAGGGATTGAGGCTGAATCTCCCTGAAGTTCGTTCTCGATGAATAGATGTGCAGCTCACCTTCTCCCTCTCTCTCTCTCTCTCATTTTTTCCCTCTTTCTCTCTTTTCTCCCAGGTCTCTCTCTTTCTGTCCCTCCCACCCTCTCATCTCTCCCATACCTCCCCCATTCAGTAGAGTGCCTTCTCTCCTACATTCTCTGAATTGATTTTTCTCACTCATCTTGGCAGGTTAGTAATCACCATTCTCAGCAGAAATTCCTTCCATTTCATTACCCCGGGTGAGAAATCCTGGGCAGCAGCGGGTGGGGTAGGGGCTGTGTTTCATTTCACTCCCATCTCTGTGTCAGGTGGGGAGGGAAGACTGTCCTCACTGAGCATCCCACAGGAGGAAGGCCAGTACTGGGAAGGGATGGAGACCCCTTGGTGGCTCTTTTCAGCTTCCAGATCCTGTGCTGCAGCTCCTCCCAGCGCCCCTGCCTTTCTCTGTCCTGATCAATCACTCACATTTGGGGTGCCTCCATGGCTGGCAGAAACTATTTCTATGCATTGCTCTGTTTAATCCTCACAATACTTCGGAGAGGTTGGTATTTTCACCTCCTTCATGTTACAGGAGAAGAAAGTGAGGCTCAGAGATACTTGCAAGACACCTGGGAATGAGAGCCAGTTTCCAGGCTCAGGCAAGGTTGTCCTGGACTGCACCAGAGCCACGTAATAGAAAGATCATGCTGCCCATCCACCTGCCAGCCATGGTGGGTCCTAGCAGAAAGAGCCCAGCATTTGTCATCCTATGGACTTGGGGTCCAGTTCCAGCTCTGCCACTTACTGGCCATGCCACTCTTCCTGGTCCTTCCTCTCCTTAGCTGTTCACACGGGATGGGGGGATGGGACAGACCCGCCAGAGTACAGCTCCTAAGAACAGGAATTTTGTAATGCAAACCAGCTGTGGAACCCAGGGGAGGAACCACCATCTCTTGGAGGCACCATTTCCCCATCCTCAAAGCGCATTTAGAAAAAAACACCTACTTTCTGTGTTGTTGCAAGAATTGCGTGAACTATTACA